TCGGCACTTGCCTTAGCGGTTAACATTTGATTGCCTACTGAAGCTTTCAAGATCTTTCTTTCATCTCTCTTGTCAAACGTTTTTATTCATCCGTTTCTTTTGCACTTAAAACACGTTCAGATGTAGAAAAATCTTTATGGCCGGTTTTAACACGGTTTCTGGTTATTCGCGTTCGTCTGGACATTTTTCTTTGAGTCATAGTCTTCAAAGTAACAACTTTCGTCTTTGTTTCAGCAGAAATTTGGGATATGACTTAAGTACATAAAGCAAGGTAATGTTCAACTTCACCGACTTCCCAAGTAAACGTTACGCTCATTCTAATAAGAAAGAACAATTTTAAAAATTAATTATATTAGTTATTTCAATGACCCAATAGTTTTCTTCCACCTGCTTAAATTGCTGGTTATTCTGCTACTCGTCACATGCGAAAACGCATTAGTCTATCATTATAGTCCATAGAAACTACTGATACAAGCATACGGCGAAGAAATCTTATGCAGTTGGGCCAGTACTTCTGCACATCAGCATATATATATATATATATATATATATATATATATATATATATATATATATATATATATATATATATATGTCATGGGTCCTTACCTATAACTACAGAATGAACTCTTCCTAACACTATGTATAATACGCCTCTCAAGAGAGATGGTCGAATCAAGCCGAGCTTCTCGAGTCTCGTTCGGGGAGGTTGACCAACCCGATCCCGTTTATACGGGTTCTACGGGCATTTTTTGGCCGAGCCTACGGGCCCGGGAAACCCACGTTAAACTCGGCCTTGTACCACATGCAACCCTCGTGGGAGGTGGCTAGATACCGAATCAAGCCGAGGTTCTCGGCTTGACGGTTGAACTCTCTGCCTCTGAGCAGAATCTCGTTCGGGGAGGTTGACCAACCTGATTATGTTTTTACAGTTTCTACGAGCATTTTTTTAGCCGAGCCTACGGGCTCGGAAAACCAACGTAAAACTCAGCCTTGTGTCGCATGCAAATCTCGTGGGGGTGCAAGTAAATATCGAATCGAGTCGAGCCGTTTCGGCTTGACGGTCGAACTCACTGCATCTGAGCAGAGAGTAAACCGGACGAATCTCCGCCGAAGGGGAGAGCCTCGTTCGGAGAGGTTGACCAAACCGATTCTGTTTTTACAGTTTCTCCGGGCTTTTTACGGCCGAGCCTACGGCCTTGTGCCACATCTTTCCCTCGTAGCGGGGCAAGTAAATATCGAGCCGATAGTAGTTCACTCCAAACCAGACTGACAGTCGTACTAACACCTTCTACATCTTGTATTATTATTTCGTGTAATATACCTTCGTTATTTCTACTCTTGTGTTCGTGTTGTTCTTCCTTGGTCCTAACCTGGACCATAACAATATATATATATATATATATATATATATATATATATATATATATGTATATATATATAGTTAAATTCCCAGATCAATTCTGTGGACAAGATTTTTTCCAATTGGCATTTTATACCACCATATATATATATATATATATGCAAATATATAGAAAAATAGGAAAGAACACGTTAGATTAATGATCCGACGTTCTTTAGTATCTTTGTTTTTATTTTTTTTAAAATAGTGCTCAGTACATAAGTAGAACCTAAATTATAATTATTTTTTAAAAATATGATTCCATCGCTACATAATAGTTCTCATGTTTCAAACACAAAAGCTAAAAGACCAACTCTGTTTCATCCACAAGCGAAACTTACGGAGCAAATGTAAATGCTTATAAAGCGCCGTAAATTTCAAGATTCGCTTGAGGATGAAACAGAGCTGGTCTTTTATCTTTTGTTTTTGAAACATGTGAACATTTATGTAACGATGGAATCATATATTTAAAATATATATATATATATATATATATATAAATGTATTACATCCATACGCACACCCCCCCATACATATATATATATAGATAGATACATAGATAGATAGATAGAGAGAGAGAGAGATACAGGCGTATCACTTGGTCTGATGATCGCTTATCTCTCTAGCTTGAAGTTAAGTTAATGATGCCACACTTGCGGTTGTGATCTCCTGATATTGTGTCTTCGTTAATTTTCACTCTTTTTTAATTTATTTACCGTGCTCTTGATGGATATTGAATGAACTTTGAAGATGGAAGACAGAGTATGAACGCTGATGCCATTGATGAAGGCAGGAACCATCTTTTCCCTGCCGCCATTGCTCCTCCAGTGCGATATAGTGGGTCTGACACAAAACGATTTTAATCTGTTCTCTTTCTAGCTGAAAAACTCAAAAGGTTTTTCAGTTATTCTTACGACAAGTGTATCAAGATGGTTAAACGTCATATCTAAAAAATGTATGTATATAAATGTACTTACATATATATATATATATATATATATATATATATATGCGTGTCTGTATGGGTGTGTGGTTGCGTGTAATTGACTATTCCAGAGATGACGCACTGTGTCGTCTCGCGGGACCACAGGCAGAAGCGTGCCGTTCGTAACCTGATGCACTAAATGGCTTCCTGTATCCAGCAAAACCCTGAGGCCCTTTTTTTCTACGTTTCCGAAGCAAAAGTTTCTTCCATGATTGGCTCTGCAATTCCGAAGTATTTTTAAATTTCGTCATCGGAACGGGGGTTTTGGCAGAAAATTTGTTGGTGTCAAGCGATCTTTTTTTTTTTTTTAATTTAAAATAGGTTTTATAGCCGTGAGACTTTGGAACTAAATGCATATTTGGAGTTTCTACATGTGCATCACTTCTAAACAAATCATTGTCTCTACGCATATATATATATATATATATATATATATATATATATATATATATATATATAGTCATCCACGAATTTGTTCGTTCATCCATCAATTTTGAATATTTTACCGTTTTCTCAGAAACTGATGTCCGTATGTTACCATGTTTTTTGTATGTTAAAAAGCAGTGAAAAGGGAATATAAAACTCAGTTTTCAGAACAATTCATTAAATACAACAATTTCGACGGGCGAATTATACAAAAATTGATGATGAGCAGACTGAAACAGATCGATCGATTGATTGATATATGTGAATACATATAAATAGAAAAAAAAGGATATATATATATATATATATATATATATATATATATATATATATATATATATATATATATATATATATATATGGGCAGTCATGGTAAATGTATATACATGAACGGTCATGACAAGCACAGTTATATGAACAATCTTGGTATAGAAATGTATATATTGTGTATTTGGGAAGCAATCTATCTTTTATACAAGTTTCGTTATAGGCGACTGACAAGGTCCTATTCTTTTTACTTTACATATACATACAAATAAAAACAAAACAAAGAAAAACATACACACACACACACAGCATTTCAGTTAAACATTTTTAAAAATAAATAAAAATTGCCCTTGACAATGCGAAAAGGAACATCCAAAAGAGCTTCGACTTGCAAATCTTTAGGACAGACAGTCTTTACATACTTTCTGTCCAGAAAAAAAAAATATATATATATATATATATATATATATATAAATATAAATTTTATTTAATTTTAATGTTTTTTTTCTCCCCCTACTCGTCAGTGTGTTTGCCCATAGTAAGACATTTTGTCCTAATCATTCTAACGTATTTGTTGGTCTAGTTAGAAATCCCGTTTCGAATGAAGAATGAGAAAAAAAGGGAAAATTGAATGTCTTTGGCAAGATGCGAAAGTGTGTCGTCAGTATTCTCATGATTTTGTGGCCGACTATTCTTGCTTGATAAAATTTCTGAACTTGGAATTGTTTTCGCCACCATTCTTTCTCCTGTTGTTCTTAATTTTTATTGAAAGCATGTCTCCCAAGCCCACTATTTGGTGAGGGCAGTGGATTGGCCGTTGAATGGGGTCGATGCTTGGACTTAAGGTTAGCTGTACATTCACTTGTTATCATTAGGAAGAAAGCGGACTAACACTCGCTGCCACTTATGTTGGGGCATTTATCATGACATAGCAATAAATCCGGAAAACCTTATTTTCTTCAATTTCTTTATAGAATAGACAATGGGACTTATACTAAGTTAAAACTTAATGTTGCACCAAGGGAAAAACAAAGTGTCAGCCAGGAATCTTTGCAAATTACCTCCCCCCTCTCATCGTTCCCTCTGTTTCTGTTGTAGGAGTAGGTAGGCTTTCCTACCGCCCGGTCCACACTCCTCCCCATTCTCTTGGACATGAGTAGAGGGTTACGCCTTGTTTCTTCTTTAGGAAGGGTTCCCGGTACTCTCTCTCTCTCTCTCGCTGGCCTCTGTACTAGTGCAGCTCTGTTTCTCCCATGATGTGTGCAGTCTGTGGCATCACCTCTTCATTCTGAGGATACACGGTTGACAGTTCTCTGGTTGCTGTTTCTGACTGGTAGTTATGAGCCCTAAATCTTCCGTAGCGTCTTGAGCGGCCGTTCTGATCAACAGTTGTATAATACCGGGGTGTTTGTAGTGCCATGTCGCGCATGGAAAGGTGTCTCTGCAGTCACCTCCGGTGGGGAACCCTGAGGCCACATTATGATGCAGGTGTGCCAACTCCTCTCTGCCCACGTCACGGTCGTAACTGTCTGCTTCTTCCTCTCGCCTGTGGAACTCCCTTCCCTATTCTAGTTTCCCTGAGAGCTATAATCTCCAGCTATTCAAATGTAATGTCAATTGACATCTCCAGTTGCTTGATCTATCCACTGCCCTTCTCTTCATCCTTTCTTCTATCACTCCAATATGATCTTGTTCTAAATTTTCTGTAACCCTTTGCGTCCTAGTGGCTTCCCGGCTTGCTTGGGGTGAAACGCTTAAAAAAAAAAGAAAAGAAAAAAGAACAGAGTGAAATAACCAAATACATAGATATCTAGAGAGATTTAACATTATGCTGGAAAGAAAGTCTTGTCGCTTGTTTTGCCGTAAACAATTTTGAATTGTGTACGACCGATTTTTAGCCATTAATTGTGATGAACAAACTGGGATAGATAGATAGATAGATAGATAGATAGATAGATAGATATGAACAGACTCAAATAGATAGATAGATAGATATGAACAGACTCAAATAGATAGATAGATAGATAGATAGATAGATAGATATGAACACACTCAGATAGATAGATATGGACAGACTCAGATAGATAGATATGAACAGACTCAGATAGATAGATAGATAGATAGATAGATAGATAGATAGATAGATAGATAGAAACAGACTCAGATAGATAGATATGAACAGACTCAGATAGATAGATAGATAGATAGATAGATAGATAGATATAAACAGACTCAGATAGATATGGACAGACTCAGATAGATAGATAGATAGATAGATAGATAGATAGAAACAGACTCAGATAGATAAATAGATATGGACAGACTCAGATAGATAGATAGATAGATAGATAGATCCGTTATATTAACTGGATAAACAACCAGTTCGGTATAGAGACAAACAAGAAAAAAAATAAAAGAAGATAAAGTTATCATAATGTTAATACATGAACTTTTTTCTGTATTTATCTACTGAATTCTTATAGATCAAATGGAAGCCTTGTATAAAATATTGTAGTATATTCAATTTAAGTAATCTTTCTTCAATTTAAATCTCAAACAACGTTCGTTCTCTTATTTTTCTCGGTATCCAGTTATAAAGCTTCTGTTTCTTCTTTACAGCCATTCAATTTCAACAATGTGATGTTGCTAAAGATGAAGGCTGAGAAAAAAAATGAACGATTTCCAATGTTATTTTCACCATCTTGTTTATGGCATTCACAGAAGCCTTTGGCATCTTGTTTCGATTAGCTTGCCAATGACAAAGGCCACCAAAATACATTTTTCGATGCATTCGATCAAGAAGTGCAATCGAAAAAGAAAAACAAACACGAAGACTTTATTTTTGGCTTGGTTACAGAGAATTAAAGTAACACCGATAAATATGTCTCCGGGCCATTCGATTAAACAAAAGCCGTAAATATATTGCCTATAACATTGAGAAGTAGTTAATATCCCAAATTTTCTTTGTGCATTTCATAATATTATTGTATATAGTGATTCATGCCATGAAAACTCCAGAAATCTGAGTCGGATTTAATGTCCATCAGGAAGCTTTGATCTAAATAGCATTGATCTGTGGTGCCCCCAATCTGTACTGGGTTCACCTTAAGGAAACCCAAATTAAGCATTGAAGTGCCTCAGAACATTAAAACAAAAAGGTACTTCAGATGGTTGATGTAGATGTTTCCTTATATCCACCAAGTTCAGAATCAGGCCTGAAATGGTGTTGGTGGATCCTCCGACATAAACAGGTAGTGAACACAATTGAACATATACACACACAAGACAACAAGATGACAGGAATTGTATTTGTAGACTTTCAAAATTAACTCTGTCTGTTATCTCTAGAATGAACACTGATGATTCAAAATTATTCAAGGAGGAAGTGCTTAATGCGTACTTAGGTTATTGAACTTTGCACAACCCTCACTTGTATATTTCAATGTCAGTCCAGTCTACCACCGTTTTCATGGTCGTATTCGTTTCTCATTCGAAAGTTTGACTACCGCACACAATATTTCACAATCTGCAGCATGCTTTAATCAGGGATGCTAAAGTTTTATTTTTGGATCGCATTGCTACAAGTGATGAAAAATGGGTTTTGCATGTCAATAGAAATCAAGGAAGAAATCCTCGCTTTGTGTCTGGTGGAATATGGATGTTGTTGTTTATTTCGACCTAGAGAGCCGTGCATGGACTATCACTGCAGACGTTTGTCGTTAACAACTTGATCGAGTGTAGGAATTATTAGGTTTAACTTAAATAACCTTGATGAATTTTAAAACTTGAATAAATGCATGGTGAATTTTTTTTAATTAATAACTAATTATTAAATAAATAAACTGGAGCGTACATCAATTGACAAAACGTTCAACAGAATGCTAGAATATTGAAATTCAATAAATAAAATTCTGTAAATAAAAAACAAGAAAAGGTAAAAGATATTTCCCTCCGCTCCTGATGAGGCTCCAGGTTGCCTCACCTTAGAGCATTCTCTCTTGGCTAGAAACAACTTTTCTAAGTAAACAAAATACAGATTATATTGCCTTAGAATTTAGATGATGTTGATGTTAATAAGACTAAAATCAAAATATCTCTGCTCTCTGTCTAGAAAGAATGTCGCGCACACATACACACACACACACACACATATATATATATATATATATATACACACATATATATATATGTTAATGTATATATATATATATATATATATATATATATATATATATATAAATATGCAATTTTTTATATATATTATTTATATATTATATATGTGCAGTACTTATTGGATATCATTATCAGTGATAGAGCTAGCATATTTATATATTTAGTTGGATTGATGTGAATTTGTGACTCAGGGTTTCACGCTATTTGCGATCGTCAGGCAAACTGATTAATTTTTAAATTTTGTATTTATATATGTTTGCGTATATCGGTGTTTTATGGCAATGGGAGGAAAAATTGTCGTCGGAACGCCACTCATGCTTACGCAGACATGCATACACGCACGTCCACTCATTGACATGCGCAGACTTACATACATGTGCACTCACTTAATATAGTTTACACAAATAGAAATTTATGTGAACAGTGTGGAACTGGGCATGACTGCGCATCCATAAGTCGTTACGTACTTGTATGCTGGAATTTTGATGGCGTTGAGGTTATTAAGGTCATAGTGCGTATATTTCTGTCCTAAAAAATATCTCTGCTCACTGCCTTGCATCAGAACGCTGCTTCCTGACATTTCTGTCTAGAATTAATTCGATATCTGTACGCCCTGTTGAATGTGTTACCCCCACCACAGGAACGTGCGATAGATAGATAGATAGATAGATAGATAGATAGATAGATAGATAGATCTGATTTAGCTTAGCTTAGATAGATAGATAGATAGATAGATAGATAGATAGATAGATAGATAGATAGATAGATCTGATTTAGCTTAGCTTAGATAGATAGATAGATAGATAGATAGATAGATAGATAGATAGATAGATCTGATTTAGCTTAGCTTAGATAGATAGATAGATAGATAGATAGATAGATAGATAGATAGATAGATAGATCTGATTTAGCTTAGATAGATAGATAGATAGATAGATCTGATTTAGCTTAGCTTAGATAGATAGATAGATAGATAGATAGATAGATAGATCTGATTTAGCTTAGATAGATAGATAGATAGATCTGATTTAGCTTAGATAGATAGATAGATCTGATTTAGCTTAGCTTAGATAGATAGATAGATCTGATTTAGCTTAGCTTAGCTTAGATAGATAGATCTGATTTAGCTTAGATAGATAGATAGATAGATAGATAGATAGATCTGATTTAGCTTAGCTTAGATAGATAGATCTGATTTAGCTTAGATAGATAGATAAATAGATAGATAGATAGATAGATAGATAGATAGATAGATAGATCTGATTTAGCTTAGCTTAGATAGATAGATAGATAGATCTGATTTAGCTTAGCTTAGATAGATAGATAGATAGATAGATAGATAGATAGATAGATCTGATTTAGCTTAGCTTAGATAGATAGATAGATTGATCGATCGATCGATCGATAGATAGATAGATAGATAGATAGATAGATAGATAGATAGATAGATAGATTTTCAGTTCTACATGAAAACAGAACTTAAAAAAAACAAGGGTGATAAAGGCAAGAAAAGCAAAATCACGAACGCCTGTTGTCTTACCCATTTCAGCCAACACTGCATCTGTGACAGTAGTTGTTGTGACTAGGGCAAGATAAACTAACGATGAATCATTCTTTTTTTTACACATTGGTTTAAAATTCAGTAATATCATTCTTCTAGACTGGTTTGGCCTACCAAGACTAAAGATGTCAGTCAACCCTATTGTTTACGAGGGTTTGAATTCTCCAGGACTGTTTCCCTCTCAAGGAAATAGATATCACTCTACCCCACTCGTTAACCATAACCAGAAGAAAATGGATTAATGCATTTTCTAAGTTCATTAACGCGAAGTGAATGGTTCAGACTGAGTGATAATTGTATCTTTTTGTAGTAAAGTCCACTCAGTGCGAAGTCGGAGAGTCACTCAAGGTAGAGGACTACTGTTAAAATGATAATGACGAAGGAGTTATGATAGGATTATGTTAGGAAGTGAATATTATGAGAATAAATAATGATTGACCATTGACTTAAAGATTGCCCTGTTCAGAGAAAAATCTTGGTGGTGTGTGTGTGTGTGGGGGTCTCTTCTGCAAAGTAGTAGTTCTTGGGGAAAAAGATGTCTGTATTAAACTTTATTCTTACTTTTGGAATCTGGGGAGAATGATAGTGATTTGATTCCTATGAAGTAGCATGGCTTGTTCTCTAAAAGACTGAGCTGATGGAACTGGGAAGTTATCATTGTAATATTAACAGGAAAAGAGACTGTATATGGAAGAAGTCCTTCTCTTACAAGAACGTGTAAGCGATTCTCGGTTCTCTCAAGACTAAGGATTGAGGATGGAACAACTCCAGTCAAGATACGGTAGTAGCATTCCAATTTTTGGTATAAACCATAAATACTTCCATGGTAATTGTTCAAATGAACTCTGATGTATTGGTACCAATACTTAAAATTTAAACGCACCAATAGACTGGCGCCTAGATCTCATCAATTTATAGTTGAGCTACCTACATGTAGCCGTAAGTTCTATGCTAACAGTTTCTTTTCGTGCACGTCCCGTTGTGGAACACTTTCCAGCCAAATTTAATCTGCAAAAATTTAAATGAAATCGCTATCTACTGTCCTCCTGATTACTCTTTCCTCTTCTCGATTATTATTAATATTTCTCTTCCTAATTCTTCCACACTCTGCAAAACGGTGTGCCTTTGTGGCATTACTGTCTTCCTTTTGACGATAAAAAGAAAACAAAAAAAAAAACAATTCTTGTAAAATAAATTATAGAAGAAGGACATCTCTCTATATTTCTGAGATGTATTTTAACTATTTACATTGTTCGGATTGTTGTCCACATCTTTATTGCTATATTCAAGATTTTGTTCCCTCTGCTGTGGCCAGATTGAACTCACAACTCTGGGTCAAGTCACTTTTTGGATTACTCAAAAAAAAAAAAATTATGCACAGGGCCATGAAGATTTGAGTTACTAAAAGCAAATTGAGCTAACAAAAAAAAAAAAAAAAGGTTGGGTAATGGCATGTGGAATTAAAACAATCAACTCCGGTGGACTAAATAAAAATTTCAGTTCAAAATTCCAACGTATGTCATCTGAAGAAGGCTGCCACAACGTCGTGAATATTGCAATACGGATTAGGATAACAGTTTGAACTATGTACATAGTGTAAATTGATAGACGGCGTCAGGAATTTTCTGGATCGACAGATTGCGACGGTCAATGTCTTTAGTAATGGCAGCTATAAATGATTTGCACTTAAGGCCTGAAA